TGGTGCGACAATAATATATAAAATCTTAATTGCTTTTAGCATTTACTCTGGCCCTTATCTTATAGCTACAAAATGTTTCATTTCTAATATGGCATTCTTGTCGTGTAAATAACTTAAGGTGCCAATATATTTACATAATTATTTCTTCAAGATTTTTAGTGTTTTTGTTTTATCAATTTATACAACATAATAAATTCTGATAAGTGTTTTCATAGTGAGTGTCATGGCTATGACTGCATATTAACCAGCATCTATTATTTGTGTGGCTTTAATTTAAGATTATTACTCCTGCTTGATAGCATTTGATTGCACAAAATAGATGAGCAAAAAGGTCAACTGTCTATCGTTTATATATCATTAAAAATGGAAGATAATCTTTTAGAAATTTAATATCTCACAATAATATTTTCGATTACTTATCTTGCTTCATAATGTCATCTAAGTCTAACCATCTTATAGTCGATTAATGATAGATAATGCCTCAAGGTAGTGCCTATTAAATTTGTATTATGTCTATTTTTCTGGATAGGTACTACCAAATTTATTTATAATATATATTTGAAAAATCGCGACTAATATAAAGCATCTGTGGCCTAGTCGGCAAGAGCGTCGCTTACCAATCCGATGGTTCTAGGTCCAATTCCCAACAAAAATCATTTTTTTTCTTATTCCAACTTGGCGGTTCTGTCCTTGGGCGGATGATATATAGGAGGCCAGACTCGACCACGTGATTCCGTTATAATATATCGTCGGTCTAGAATTGGAGTGCTCCACTCGACATTTGAAAAATTTTTGAGTTAGAACTGGATAATAACTTATTTATTCCTAATATATATATAAATAAAAACTAGATTAAAAAATATTAATTTTTGCCAAAGTTATAGCTCTGTCAATTTTTCTCTATTTGCATCCATAAAAACAGCGCTAAGAACCAACTCTCAAAATTTTACTGAATCCAAATTCTTTTTTTAAACTAGGAATTTATTAGGTGATGTAAATATAAAATTTATTTATTTAATCAAAATAATCTCTGGCAATTTTTGATAATTTTGGATATCTATTTTTATTTAATTTCCACCAGTCTAATGGATTTGTATTATTACAAATTGTGGCTTCATCCACTTGCTTATTTCTATTTTTATTAATTGTAAGAATAAATTAGAATATAAATAAAGATATAGTGTTAATTTATTTATTGAATTTAAAAAAATGTAAATGGAGCATTTATAACATTAAAAAAAATCATAAAGTGTTATATTTGCTTCATTTGCATTTTGATTTTATCAAATATTAAAAAAAAAAAATTAATAAAAATGATATATAATTTTATATTTAAATTTTTTGATTAAAAATTTTTTAGGCTATAATTAATTAACAATATGATAAATTATCTCTGAAATTTTGAATTAAATTGAGCAATAAGTTTTTCCTATATTTGATTTTAAACTTTAATGTTGATTTTCTCATTTTAAACTTTTGCGCAAGTGGAGCACTCCAATTCTAGACCGACGATATGTTAAATAATAATAGTCTATTACATTTTAATAAATTTTGATCGGTATTTAGCAAATTAGTTGGTATTGCTATACGTTGAATTGGCAGTATCTATCATTAACCCATATAGTCTTATGATTTGGATTAGTCGTTTATATTATCCTCTTCAAGTATTATTGATTTGGTTAGCCTACAAATTTTTCCTTATTAGTCACTTCTATAAATAATTGTCTAAAATGGTAGCACAACGTAATATTAGTTTAATGACCTTTTGTTAATGTAGTTTGCTAAGAATTATATCGCCCTGTGTTTTTTTAAAACCATTATCAATTTAGGTTAACCTTTTTAATCACTTGTAATTCTTTAGACAAAAATTTTTTTTATATTTGTGATCGAAAATATTTAATATTGTAATAAATAAATAAATATTTTGTATTAAAAAAGTATCATATTTAGAAATGTCTTGTATTGTTTTACTTTTATTATTTGTATGCATAATAAATGGCAAAGGATGAAATTCAGAATAATTGTTCAGAGTTTGCCATTCCAATTAAAAAAAGTGTAATATTATAATATATAACCCTGCCGAAGGCCGGGCAAATGCGGGCCGAAGGTTCACAAAATAGGGAGTTGGGGGGGGGGGTAATTTTTTTTAGTTGAGCCCCCTGAGATTTTAAAGGGTCCTGGTTCTGAGATATAATATTAACATTGAATTAATTATTCAATTTGCCTTTTTGAACTAGTTTTTAAGTTTTTCATATGAAATGAAAAATTAGGATTTAATTAGTATAATAATATTAAAATAAATTTTAAAACAAACTGTAAATATCTTTATCTGCATATATTATAATTTAATGTTTTAAAAATTCTCAAAATTTCAATATAAATAATGCACATTTTACTAATAATTTTTCAGAGATAGTCAAGCGAACACCCTATCGCTTCCTTCGGGGGCCCATATGATAAGTGAATATACAGTTTAATTTTCGATTCAATTTCAAATGTGTTAACTCTTAAAATTTTTTATTTACGTATATTATTCAAGACATATCACAAATAACTTCGGAGCCCCCTAGCTTAATTTATCGTACTTTTGGCTATCTATCATGAACTTTATAAAATAGATTATATGATCTAAAGAATTAAAAAATCTATTAAAATACAAATGGCCAGTGTCATGTCCAATGGTTCTCGCCGTCTCTATCGCAGATGGGTGAAGCATAGTTTATATTTTTATTGCACTTTTCTCCATAATAGGCTAAATTTTTATTTTTTTAAAATTATTTATATATTTGTTTTAATAAAAATTAACTCTTGAAAAGATAAAAAAATTAATATTTATATTCAATCAATACCAACAATGTTACCACATTGGTTCCAATTTTTTAAATAATGTTTTTATTTAAAAAAAAGGTAAATTGTAAACTAAACATATTATGTTTTATGTTATAGGACTAGCCAGGATTTTGCTAGTGGAGGAGTGGAGTAATTAGATTGAGTTTTACTCTATAAATTTTATTGGAGATATTTAAGATCACCTATTGTATTTGTAAGAGATCTGCAAATCACATAGTCGGCTCAAGTCCCGACCGAGCCGGGTTGGGCTTAAAATGATTTCAATTAAATTTTGTCAAATAAATTGATATATTTTAAATTCTTGGAAGAAACAAGTGGTTTAATATTTTTTACAGTAAAAAAAATATTAAATTTTTCTATACTTAAATAAATGGGAGGATAAATAATTTTTTACTTTTATTTCGGGTCGCGCATTTCTGGACAAATAGAAAAATTTAGTTCAGGATCAGACCGAGCTTGGGAAATTAGGCCCAATGCAGAACACTACTGTGTAGAACTTTGGCTATTACATTTTTTAAATAATAGTTTTGGTTTTCACTCTTTTTTAAACATAAAAAAAAATTATGAATTATCGTTATTATTTTAAAAAATTATTCACTTTTACTATTTTCTTTCAAATGAGTGTTTATAGTTATATATTACATACATTTTTGGGAAAGAGAGTTGGGGAGGAAGGGAGGTATGGGGAAATTTTTATTAGCTTAAAATGATATTTATGAGAATGGGTAAATTTCGAAGAGGGGATCCCCCCCTGGCTACACCTATGGTATATGTATTTACAAAAACCCCTTTTAGATTATCACAATTATATTTAAACATTCACTTAATAACATTTTAGTAAAAATGTCATAAATATAGTAATTAGCAATAATACAAATAAAATGCAATAAAATCATAAAAAATGAAAGGTGGAGGGATCTTATTGGAACCATACAAATAGATATAACAAAAAACCCACAGCAACATTAAATTCTTATAATTAGTGTTGTTAAACGGCTCATTTTGAGCCGATTTTTTAAAACGGTTAACTCAATATTTTAGCCAGGAAAATATTGCCTAAGCCTCGAGATTTCGATAATATATACCTAGACCTTTGTTCCTTCTATGAGCAAAATCTTGAGGCTTGCGTAATATTCTGGACGAAATATTGAGTTAGCAGTTTTTAAAAATCGGCTCAAAACGAGCCATTTAACAACACTACTTATAATGTAGATTTTGAAAAATCCTGAGTAATAGAATAATGCCATGCATAAGTAACATTAAATGCTATTTACTTCATGGACAATGGAAAATATAATTAGGCAAAATTCTGCTTTTTAATAACACTTTTAAATTGATATCTAGACAAAAATTTGCTCTTATTTCTTTTACATTTTAATTTTTAAATAATTATCTAAGAAATTGTACGTGAAAAAATCCTAAAAATCTACGAACAAACAATACTATAGGCATATTTAATTTTCCAATCAAAGTTATAAATTTTATCAAAAAAATCGATAAACCAGCCCAAAGACGATATATTTTGTATGAGATCGAGGTATGATATTTTCTATTTCTAAGTGTAAAAGAACACTTAGTGCTGGTATTATTTTACTAAACATCGCTTCACCTTAACACTTGAGAGTGCATCTAATGTAATCGTTAAATATATCTGTAAAAGTGGAATTTTACCTAGTATTTTGTAACTAATTCTAAATAATAGAGGAATATCAACTATATGTCTACTTTTTATAAATAAATTTCTTATACTTGTTTGGAATAAATTATTACCATGCATGTATATACAAGTAATTTATTATATTTTATATAAACTAATAAAAATATATTTCATATTTGTTTCAGGCTTATTTTTTTTATTAAAATTAACCTCCTATCTTGTAAAAATATTTTATGACTATATATAGACTAAGGTAACCCGGTCGATATTTCGCCTAAAAATTTCAAAAATTCACCCCCCTACGCCGGTCCACTAATTTAAATTTTTTAATCCGCTCGCCACCTATCCAATGTTAAAAATATTTTAGAAAACCTGACCACGCTCACCCATAGTATGGATGTGGAAAAAGCCGCCCAAAGCATACCTTTAGCAGATAACAATATTAGTTTTCACATTTTTATTATAAACAATCAATTATATGACATTATATTATAAAATGGAATATTTATAATTAGTATCATTTAAAACTTATTGATATCATATGAAATATATAGATTTTAGTTCTTCCTATATAAATTTTTATATTTTGGGCCAATAGTTATCCATTCTTCATCTAGATCTTCTTTACTTTGCGCGGTAATCAAATTTTCTTGAGAATCATTTTTGTACAGCATGCTTTGATTGTTATTATTTTGGATCGCAGTTATATCATCGGTACTTTCCTAATGGTATACAATAAAAAATTACACAAAATTAGATGTAATAGGATATTTTTTTAAAATGATAACATTGGCATTCTTTTTAATTTTTTAATAATTGACTTTTTTTTAGTTTGTGAATGATATATAATGCCAAATTTGATGTTTTTAGTGTCAGTCATGTTGTAGTTTAAGGTACCTTTGGTTAATCAAAATTTAAAAACCAATTGCCCATTTTTTTTCTGCTTTTTAACGAAGCGATAAAACCTTATATGAAGAAATTTATTTATATATCCATAACACATAATCACGTAGCACTATCCATGATACAATGTTTCTTCCAATCAGGCCAATTTTTTTATTTAATTTAATTTAATCATATCTTTATTTATAGATTTCCTTATCAATTTTCACCTCAACTACACCATAAATAAATCAATGAAATTCTTCTTTACAAATACTCAAATTATATACTAATTTTGAAATTTCTATAAATCCCTATTATTTTACCACTTCTACATTTCACATCAAATTTACAATTCTTTTGCCAGTATTTATATCACAATTTTATACATTATTCTTTCATAATCCATAATTAAGAAGAAACCAGTTATATTACATATATATTTTTTAATCACCAATCCCCATAAACTCATCTTTATTTTTTTTTCCTTTCCTAAATATAAATTTTCTTATCACTAAATTTTAGTGTTGTAAACGAACGCGTTCATGAACGAAATTCGTTTTTTTTTAAAAAATGATGAACGGCGTTTCTTTAATTTTTGACGAACTTTGAACGTGAACACGTTCCTTTTCTATGACGAACGCGTTCGATTAACGTTCGTTCAATTTTAAAAATACTTTTTATTTTTATTTATTTAAAAAATTTAATATTTCCGAATTTTTTTCAAAAAAGTATTATTTATATTTTTTAATCGGTTGCATATTTACTTTTCACATTTCAATTTTTTTAAGACATAGTTTATTAATTTGAATATTAATGTTTATATTTTAATTTAATTTAATAGATTGCATAAGCATGGATATTATTATTTAATCCTCATCATCTGATTCTGAAAATCCAAAATCAGATGAATTATCATTACTATGACCAAATATGATAAATGTTTTAAAGTAACATCCTATATTGAAGAAACTAATTCAATGCTTACCAAGTGTAAAATATGCCCAAAAAGTATTATATTGTCAAAATCTCCAGGTTCCAATTTAAAACGATATTTGATTGTAATATTAATTATTTTATTTTATATAATATAACTAAGAAATATCATAAAATTTGAAGAAAAAATGCATTTGGGATATTTGATCCCAACAATAACGATAGTTATTTTAAAATTAAAAAAAATTAGTGGCCTCAAATATGGTCAACTATTGATAGACGCCGTATTAAATGGGATTAATAAAAGGTATTAAACCTATCACTCTCAATTAATTACATATATTTTTTTTTAAGATTTAAACATATATATGAAGATCAATAGGTTATTTCTGCAATTATACATCCAGTATTCAAGCTTCAATGGCCATGGATAAAACTTCCACAGAACGAACCTATTAAAAATAAACTTATAGTGTTATTGAAAAAAATGCTTTGAAAACCCTAGAAATGATAATGCAAGAACTGTTATTTTCGAGATATCCTTTTTTTTATCGAAGATGTAGAGAATGGATTGGAGGAGGATCACTTATCTCAATTCTTTGAAACAAATAACAAGATAATAAATGTTTTTAATAAATTCCCCAAGAGTTATTTATTAAGTATAATACCGCAATCACCTCACCTCATCTACCCTTGAGCATGCCGTATTAACTGCCATGCGTTCTTGTCTATCATATGAAAATTTTGAAAGATATTGTTAAAAATATCTTTTTATTTGATATATTATTTTGAATTTATAATTATATTATCAAAATAAAACTATATTATTTTTTAACTTGGCTAATAAAGTATTAAAAAATTTATCATAATTTTGAACGGTTCATGATCAAGAACGTAAACGCGTTCTTTTTTTTGAAAATGAACTTGAAAGTGAACGCGTTCGACTATTTTAGAAATGTTTACAGCAGGGTAATTCCATGACAAATCGACCAATGATTCGGCCGACCATCTCAAAAATGAATGAAACTTTGCATGCTAGTTATTTATGTTGTAAATGTTAAGAAAATCAAAATTTTAGAGTGCTAGCTCAACCAGATCCAAAGATATACGCCTTCAAAGTCAAAAATCGCAAAGTGCGTGATTTCTTTAAATCGTGTTTTTTAAAAAATACTTAAGTGAGAGTTACATATTTTATATCATTTTATAGCCTTTAAAATTTTACGTTGGAAAATATAAAAAAAATTAAAAAATTTCAAGTGTTTTCTAATTTCCGGTAAAAATAAAAAATTAACATTGTTAGGAAGGGATTTTTTTTGGGTGTTAATATTCACTAAAAATGTTTATTACCTTTATAAACGATTTAATAAAAAATCTCGATAGCCATTTTTGTTTTTTAAATTTTATTTGATTTTTTAATTTTTATAAATAAAAAAATGCAATATAGATGACGTTATATTAAAAATTTTATAATATATAATTTTAAATAAAAATATGAATAGTATTGTGATTAAAATTAAAAAATTAATTGAGTATAACCAAGAATGATGTCCTGGGGCGATATGTAAGCAGGCAGCCCATACAGATATTATTTTATTGACACTATATTGTAAAATAAACATATTTTAAAATTTTATATTCAAACTAATTTCGCGCTTATTAATAGAAATTCCTAAGGCCATAATTTGTAGATATATCCTTTCATTGTTGTGGATCTACTATCGTTATTATTTGAAAATTTATCAGCTTGTTTTATTTTTTTATTCCTATTATTAAACATTTTTTATAGCCAAATGAATTTGTGATTTCTCTGAAAATTATGCATTTATAATCGAAGACACTATTATACCAGACAAAAATGATAAAATTTTTGACTAATCAATTCAGCAAAAAGCCAAACAAAATATTTACTGCTCTTATGCATCAGCTGCACAATAAAAAACAGAAAATTTTTTATAAATCTGTGTTATCATCAATCAAATTTTGGTGTAGAAGCTGAATGGCATTTTTCAGCTACATCCCATGGAAAAGGTCCATGTGACGGCCTTGGCGGAACATTAAAAAGATTAGCAGCACGTTCAAGCCTTCAGCGCATCAATTCTGGACACATTTTAACGTCAGTTGATTTATATCAATTTGCAAAACAAAACATGCCATCAGTAAATCTAAATTTTAAATATATAACCAACGACCAATACAATTTACAAGTGATTAAACTAAGAGAAAGATTCAATTTAACTCGTCCCATTCCAGGAACTCGGGAAATACATGCTGTATTTCCTTTGAGTTTAAGTAAACTTAAATCAAAAATATATTCATATGTAGAGGACTTTTTAATTAACAATATCTCAAATGCCGATAATTTGTCTTTTGCCGATATTAAAGGATTCTTAACATTGTTATGACGATTTTTGGTGGTTAGCCTCAGTACTAAAAAAAGAATGAATTTACTGAGGAGATATATATTTCCTTTTTACATCCCTATGGACCATCACCATCCTTCTTTTACCCCACAATTGCGGAAAAGATATGGTTACCCATTAATCAAATAATAACAGTAGTAGATCCTATTACAGTGACAGGACGTACCTACAAATTATCGACTCAAGAAATTCTATTAATATGAACAAAATGGGATAAGATTAAAACAAGAGGTATTTTTTTTTATAATTGTTTGTGTATAAAATTTTAAAATGTTTATTTTACAATATAGCGTCCAAATAAAATAATATCTGTATGGGCTGCCTGCTTACATATCGCCCCAGAACATCATTCTAGGTTATACTCAATTGATTTTTTAATTTTAATCACAATACTATTCATATTTTTATTAAAAATTATATATAATAAAAATGTTTTAATATAACGCCATATATGTTACATTTTTTTATTTATAAAATATATAAAAATTCAAATAAAATTAAAAAAACAAAAATGGCTATCGAGATTTTTTATTAAATCGTTTAATATAAAGGTAATAAACATTTTTAGTGAATATTAACACCCAAAAAATCCCTTCCTAACAATGTTAATTTTCTATTTTTACCGGAAATTTTTTAATTTTTTTTTATATTTTCCAATGTAAAATTATAAGGGCTATAAAATGATATATAATTTGTAACTCTATCTTAAGTATTTTTTAAAAAAACACGATTTAAAGAAATCACGCACTTCGCAATTTTCGACTTTGAAGGCGTATATCTTTGGATCTGGTTGAGCTAACACTCTAGAATTTTGATTTTCTTAAAATTTACAACATAAATCATGCAAAGTTTCATTCATTTTTGAGATGGTCGGCCGAAAATCTCGTTTTCTTGGTCGATTTGGCGTAGAATCACCCAGCACTACTAAATTTATATAATTTCATTCTTTTTTCGTACTTATATTACCTATTAACAACTATTTCTCAAAACCTAACCAAATTACTTAATATTTTTTATTATCTTTATATTATAACAATTTATACTATTTCTTTTTTCTATAACCTATTAGTATTATTTTTTTCATTATCTTACAACTAAATAAATAATCTTAACATTAATAACATAACATTCTACATGATATTTCTCAATCTTAAACTAAATCGTATGCTTTTTTCCTTTTATCAAATGACAAATCGTCTGCATTTCTTTTTATTTTAACCTAACAAATACTAAATCTTAAATTTATCTATTTTCTTCTAAACATGCCTTTAAATAAAAAATTAAAGTTTAAACAATCATAATTTTTTCCTTTCTTTCCCAATATACTCTAGATATTTCACTTATTTTACTCCCTATATTTCTATTAACCATCATTATATATTCCTTTTCTATATATACATATATCTATAATAATACATTAATACTATATATATAAATTCCTTATTATCAATTTAGTGGATGCTAGCTTATCCACAAGAGGTACTGTAAATTTACTGACAAGCAATGCAAATTCACTGCACTGGATACACCCTCTTTTGGTTGGTGTAAGCCATTTAATTGTATTTCCCCAGTGAAGGACAAGACAAGATTGTGCCCAACTTAATTTTTTTTTTTGGAATATAGCTTGATCAAAGATTTCTTATTTAAAAAATCAGAGGAGTAATAGTATATACATTTATATACCTTATTCTATAGTGACCTTCAATCTTTGTACTTAATTCTGTAAATATATTTGAATTATATATCTTTATTATGTTGTTTAAATATTTTAGCTTAACCCAGAGATAAATTATTTTTCTTGTTTACTATATAATCAATATTCAAGATTTAAAAAGAATCTGAGTGAAATTAATCTCAAGCCATTTATAATAAATGCGAATCATTTTAGGAAAAGTTCCTCACTAGTGCAAAATCAATATATATATTTGTTAGGAGTAAAATCGTATGGGATTTTATTCTTATGACAAATTACCCCCCCCCCCTCCCCTTCATTGATACCCTTTGGCTTATTAAATCATTGCGTTAAATCAAAATAAATTTAAAAACTTTAGGCCCAAATTCTTTATTATGGTAAGGGTAACAAATATATATTATGATCCTTTAATAGTATTTATCTTTATAGAATTAGTGGTATAACAAGGAGATCCATCTTGTAGGAAAGTGTAATTTATGTATTAATAAATCAATTAAGAAATCAATACTTTGTTGAAGCTTGATAATTTAAGACATTTATTATATCAATATAATAAAACATAGCCTTTTGCACTCATGCAACCACATGTTATTAAATTATTTGGAAATGGTTATTTGTAAGAAACCAGGGTGGAAGGTTCCTACTAAGGTTTTTATTATCATTTCTGGTAAAGTTGTTAAAAATGGTTTCTTTTTGTTTATATGAAATTGAATGCTATAAAGCTATAGACGAATTTTAAATGATTTTTTTTACCTTATAAAAGGAATATTCTATTAAATGTTATCTTAGTTGATAATATATGGAAACTTGTCTCTCAATTGAAATCTCATCAAATCATATTTTTGAAGAGACATCCCAAATTATAATAACAATTTTTTGCATCCTCCTCTTTTGAGTTAGTTATCTTTAGTCCTTATGAGTATGCTCTAAAAAATCCTCCAATTTTAATTTCTGTAGTATATCTCTAATGATAAATTGATTTGCTACCTTTGTTCCAGAATTCCTTCTTTTAAGTAAATTAATAATGACCTAGCATGATTACCTCTACTTTTGAAGATTATAAAATTTTAAAAAGTTATACATTGATTAAATTATAAAAAAAAATAGAATAAGAAGATCAACATGTGAGAACATTTTGATGATCATAAAGCAATGAACAGATATCTATACATTCTCCTCATTATTAATAAAATAAATTTCTACTTTAATTAATATCATGTATAATAATAATTACGATTTTTTAAAGAGATTAATAATTAATTTAGAATTTAATAATTATTATAATCTAAAAATCAAGTGTGGTCAGATATCAGTTAAGTGGGGTAATATATATCTAGATAAGAAATTTCCATTTTTATGTAAAATTTAATTTGTGTGAGTTTATTGTTAGTCAAACACTATTTTAATAAAGTGATACATTTTTAGGACATTTAAATTTTTAAATTTTAAAAAATAGAATGCCCCATTATTTTATAGAGCTTCATTTTTCAGTAAATTTAACTATGAATTTTAGATCAAGTACTTTTATAAACATCCCGTCAAATGTTTCAACAAGGTCACCATTCAGTGAGGCGATTCCATGTGAATATTTCCTAAGACAATCTCTTAATAAGTTGGTTAAGGATATATAATTTTAAGGATAAAATTTTGCAATATCTTTTATTGAGCCCAAAAAATTTTATTTTATTGGCCAAAGTCTGGCTCAATATTTTATTTTAGCCTGAGCCGGGCTATTTTTTTTTAAATTAAAAATTTATATATTTGCCAAATTATTTTCTTCCTTCGTCCCAGAGAATATTTCGATAATCGTTCAACAAAAGATGAGACAAAATATTTTTTTCTAGAGCCCAGGGTTAGCTCTGATGTTTACTTATCGTTTAAAATATTTGTTAAAAAAAATCAATTAATTTTATATCAAACCTCGTGTGAACTATCTTCACTGATAGTAGTAGCAGTCAAATCACATGGTGTTGGAATATTTAATAAAAATAATTTAATTTCATCATATTTTTTCTTGCAATATAGTTCATACACAAAGTATATATCTTGACTAACCTTTTATATTTTAATAAAATTATAATTATAAAGGATATAATAGATATTAGTTTAATTTATTTATATAAATTGTAAAATTAAATCCAGATCACGGAAAAAGATATTACCCGCTTTATTTGGCAGATACTGATACTCCTACAAATACGCGATTTCCTCATTTTAGTATTCATAAATATTATTCAAGTAATAATAAAAATAATAATAGTTTTAAAAATGTTAATATTTCACATAACAATGACACTGCTCTACAAATTCATTTTTTTGGCTCAAGGGCCAGAAATTTTATGTTTTTGAGTCCAAATACAACCCAAAATGTTTATATATCTTTAGGCCTGAACCCGAATTTATATCTATAAGGCTTGGGTAATGTTTGTTAAAAACGGCTAAATAAAGATATTAGCAAAATAAAAATTATAAGCCTCGAGATTTCGACAAATTATGGCAAAAAAATTAGATACTCTCTTAACGAGATCTCGGGATTTGGGTAATATTATTTTAGTGAATTTAAAAAATCGGCTAAATTAAAGTTTTTAATAACACTATGTTTGAGCCCTTCCCAAATGTTTTTGGAAAATATGAACGAAAAACATTTATTAAAGTTGAACAAAATAATAATCACCATATATGTTGTCCCTGATCTCAAAGAAATTCGAATTATCATTTTAATCATAGATGCCGTCAGACCAATATTTTTTAATTTTTTTGCCGATATCATGGCCCGATACCTACTAATTCAACCCTCAAAACCTTTAGATATTTTGCACTTAAAAATTAGTTTTCTTGCAAAATATTTATTTTATAGCTTATCGTAAAAATTGTTAGTTTTTTTAAAACCTAATAGTTTTTACACTGGTATCAAAATTTTTCTAAAATGTTTTTGTTCTCCTCTAAGAAATGATTTTATATTATATTTTTTGTTTAGTTGGAACTTTTCTAAAAAAAGGAACTAAAAATATAATTGATACATTTATTTAAAATATGATACATTTATTTAAAATATGATTAAGTTATTGTAAGTATATGTTTTCTAAGTAATTTTTTATAAAACAGTTAGATACCCAATAGTATATTATCGGCAAAAAAATGGTATCGATGTCTCTGATTTTGATAAAAGATAACATTATTCTTAAAAAAATTACGCCCCATTATTGCTAGACCCTTTTAAAATTTTAAAGCCCAGCCCATTTTTTAGGGAGGCTGAGCCTTAATCTCCACCTTTATCCTTTTCACTCTTTAGTCCATGACAGTACAGATGGATTTACTATGGTTAATGTTGTCGCCTATTTGAGATTTAAATGGAGAACTTTTTTGAAAAAAAAATAGAATTCTTTTTAACATGAAATTTTTCTTACATTGATCTCCTTGCACCATCTATAAATCACGATGATCTCTAGTAAGCTGAAAATTTCGTGAAATATTATCCAGCCAGATTGGGTAGCGCAAAAATCATGACTCCCGCCAAGAAACAAAGATAGATTCTTATATGGTTATAATTATAATTGTTAAAAGGCGTCATTGTTTAATATTCGTATTTCTCTATATATCATTCCATCTATTAATGAATCAGCAAAAGGTGAAGTAAATTTCGAAATTTATAGATTAGTTTTCAGCCATATTCCATAAAAGTCTGCTAAAGTTAGCTGCTTAAGTTGTAATTTTTTTGTAGCTACTTTTGGTTTTTAAGATAAATTTATATATGATCCTGATAATTCGCCTTAAATATCTTCTAATTCATTTTATCTCTCCAATAGTTTTACTAAACGGCTTGATTTTTAAAAACGACTAACCCAATATTTTCGCCCAAAAATATTACGCAAGCCTAAAGATTTTGTTAATCAATGACCAAACCTTTCTGCCACCCATGAGCAAAATCTCCAATGCCTGATTTTTTTGGACAAAATATTGAGTTAGCAGTTTTTAAAAATTGAGCCATTTAACAGTACTCTCGAGCATATCGCAGGTTCAGGCTGATAAACATCTGTGGCTTTTAAAATGATTGATATCAATTTAGTGATTGGTTTCTTGCTGATAGTACAAGCTAATGGTATTAGGAACTGAACAATTCTTAATGCATAATCCACAAGTTGTAAGGGAGAATCACATCTTATTATAATATTGCGTTTAGAATCATTAAGATTGATTGATAATTCATCAGGTATATTTATGAAATCAGTAGAAATATCATTAAAATTATCTATATTTTGTATTTGTTCTTCTTCACATTTTCAGACATTTGATTGTCATCATCAATCCCCCATAAATAATTTTACCATCTTAATAAGATTTGCCCCATTGTCAGTTGTTATAGTGTATATTTGTGATGTTTTGATTTCATAGTCATTTAATACTTTTATTAAAAGGAGTTTTAAATTACTGAAGTGGGCCATTCAAAAATTTATTTCATGCTAGTTTTCTCTGAACAAATTTTGCTTTTTAAATATATTGAAGATTATTCCCAATAATGGACCTCTAAAGACAAGTATGCCATCTATTTTTAGAGATAATAACTTTCCATTTATTTATTTGATTATATTTTGTCAAATACTCAAGGCTTTGAGAATCAATTTTAATATTACCCATGCCTTCAATAGGGATCAAGATTTTTTAAAACCACTTTCATTGATTAATTTGAATGGAGTGCCATTAAGACCAACTTGGTATTTTATTTAGTAAGTTTGTTCTTTCAATGCTTCTTCTATAGTCTGCTGGCTTGACGACATCTCAATCTTTTTTATTTCTATTGGCCTTTGTTGTGATATTTTGTGTTATTATTTTCATGTGATGCTCAAGATTTGATTATGGTGCCCTTTCATAGTTAAATCAAAATCAGTAATATTACATTTTGATGTGTCATTTATATACAACATGTAAAGAGATCTGGAAAAGTAGGCCCTATTTTTTAAAAAAATTCGGGCCAGGTCGGGCTTTGGAAATTTAATTAAATATATTTAGATTTATCAATTCTATATTAAATTTTTTATGTAAAATAAAAATATTTGATTTTATTTATAGAACTAGACGCCATATAACATATGTCTTTTATTTTGAGTAATTATAAAAATTAATTTCTATATTTAAAATAAAATCGGGCCAGGCCGAGAAAACTTTTTTTAAAAAAATTTTGGGCCAGGCCTGACCGATGCAGATCACTAATTTATATATTGGAATCAATTTATCTCAGAGACCTGCAAAAGTACCATTTGAATGGCTCAGCCCAGATTTTTTTTGGCCTGGCCCAGATGTTTTATTTTCGGCCCAGCCAGGATTTATATTTTCAGGCCTGACCCAAATTTTTTTAAAAATAAATTCTATTTATTTTTAATTTTTATAGATAATATGGGGATATAAAATATTTGGTTTTAAAATATACGGCCTGGCCTGGGTATTAAAAATAATAAAATACAGCCTGGCCCATGTATTCAGGCCTGCAGGTTTCTGATTTATCTCAAGGCAATTACCCTGCATTCATAGTTATCAAGCATTTGTGTAGAAGTATACAAAATATACTATCTTTTCGTATTCTTCATTATAACAAATTTTGTATCATTCATCAAGAATTCATACCAACTGTGAATTCAGGGTTATAATATAAGCTGGAAAAAAATATATAAATGGAAATATACATTTTAAGAATTGTAACAGACACATATTCAAAATTGATTGATAATAATCTTAAAAACAATTTAGCTATAAATTACAAGTTTAGCAATATAAATAATAACTCACATTATTTATATGCACAAAATTAGTGATATAAAATCGCTCCATTTGAGCCAATTTTTAAAACAGAACTCAGTATTTCACTCAAAAAAATATTACGCAAGCCTGAAGATTTTGCTTATATATGCAACACAAGTTTGACATCTATTAACAAAATCTCGTATTTAAATTTTTAAAATATACCCAGGCCGGGCCTGAAATTTTTTTTAAAAACCCAGGCTGGGCCTGATATTTTTTTTAAAAATTTATACAACATGAATTATTATATTCGTCAATTAGATATGGTTATAATGATTATATATAGTTATGATTAATAAAATGTTGGGTGAAAGTTAGCACTCATAGTATCTATTACATAATATAATTAGTTTTCCTGCCATGGAATAAATATGCAAATGATTAAATACATTATGATATGTTATATATTTTATTAATTAAAATATCAGTTTTATTTTTTTTACAAATACAATTAATATAGTATATTCTCAAAATATTATTTACACAAATTTTTTATAGTATCAATTTATAATATACTAAATATCTGTTTAGAATAAAAATAAATAAAATTAGTGTTGTTAAACAGCTCGTTTTGAGTCGATTTTTAAAAACGGCTAACTCAGTTTTTTATTCAGAAAAATATTATACAAGTCTGAAAATTTTGCTCATAGAAGGAGCAAAGGTCTAGGCATATAGTTTCGAAATTTCGAGGCTTAGTCAATATTGTTCTGGCAAAAATAGTGAGTTAGCCGTTTTTAAAAATCAGCTCAAAACCAGCCATTTAACAACATTAGCTAATATGCTTGCTTATTAAATGATAATGCTCACCAAAAAATATGATAAAATACCAAATATAGGTGAATTTTTTGTATATACCAGGTCGAATATAATTTTAAAAAATTTCGAGGCCTAAAAATTTTTTTTTTAAATCCAGGTCGGGCCAATGGTACCTCTGCAGGTCTCTGGCTAAAATATTGAGTTAGCCATTTTAAAGTCTTCTCAAATGGAATGATTTGCATCACTGCATATAATAATGAGGCTCAAACTCGTTTATTGGTATTTTAGCATTTGATTAAGGTAAAGATAAGAAATTATTTAACAGTTCAGGTTTGATAAAAAATACCCATTAAGCAGTTTGGCTCAATTAGGATCCCTGCTGAAAAGATAACCATATAAAATGATTGATCATGTTAGGAAAAACATTCAACTCTTAACTTTGACAAGTAAAAAAATATTAAATTGTAACATTTAAATAAGAAATCTGCAAGGCCTGGCCCATTACAAATTTTTGTACAAGCTGTCCAACTCCAAAATTTATGAAAATAAATTTTCTTCCTACACAACCCCCACCACCCTCTCATCCAATGTATATAAACAATAATTTGAAATAAAAATAAATAAAATCTAATAATTTTTTAAAAAATGACTATAATTCAAAATTTTTTTAAAAAAAAGTGAAAACCCAAACCTATTATTTAAAAAATGTGACATAGCAATAGTAAACGGCTCTTTTTAAGCCAATTTTTAAAAATGGGTAACTCAATATTTAATCCAGAAAAATATTAAACAAGCCTGAAGATTTTGCTCATAAAAGAAACAAAGATCTAGACATATATTATCGAAATCTCGAAGCTTAAGCAATATTTTTCTAGCTAAAATATTGAGTTAGCCATTTTAAAAAATTGGCTCAAAATGAGTGTTTAACAACACTACATAGCAATAGATAATCTTAAAGATCTAGTTCCTCCTAAAAAATCCTGGCTAATTTATGGTCTGATTATTCATTATCTAAATATTATAAAATCATAGTACTTTTTTGAAAAAAAGTGGTATATTTATTTTAATGTTACATAAAAAAAAAGAGGATATGCAGATAAATTACATTAATAAATTTAATCTTAACAATATGATTGACATAACAATATAATAATTCTATAAAACACTCATATAATTATATAAACAAATAATATGCAAAAACCTGAATTAATGTATCATCCTCAATATATGTATCTAATTCATTATCTATAATTTCAATCAAATAATCTTCAATTTCAGTTGATTGGATATTACCTTAATAAATAAATTAAAATAAATTTCATTTATAAATAATACGATTGCCTTCCATAAGTTCAAATGTTACATTTGATAACCATTTAACAAATTCTTGATATCTAATACCTTTTTCATTGTTTTCAATAGCAATCTAAATGATAATTTATAATAATAATTTTTTTAAGCCAAACTTTGAGTGAAGGCCATTTAGAATAAATCTCGTTGTAAGATTGTTTTAAATCCATACCTATTAAATACTAACTTATATGGCATAATATCGAATAAATAATAATCGATTATCAAGATAAATTAATAAAATAATTGGAATCCAGTTTTTATTGGCTATGTTAGATCTTAATTTTAGAAACAAGCTGCCAATAGATAGAGGGAGTTGAATTTCATCTTATTATATAAAAATAAGAGCAATGTCTGATTAATAGAATTTTTGGTATTTTGACATTGAGGAAAGAAAAATATAATTTTAAGTTTTTATTTTGTATCTGATGACGAGAAACGCGGTTCAAGCCTGCCTAAAAAAAAGTATCATGTCAATTCGGCGCGAAAAATTCGGAGCAGCGACAATTCGGCCCAGCATCAATGCGCGGCGACAATTCGGCACAGTGTCAATTCAGCGCTGTAAAAATTCAGAGCAGCGTCAATTCGGCGCGTATCTAATATAGCTGCAATTTATTATAAATTTATTAGTATATAAAAAAAGGGTGATTACTTTGTATTTTTTTTACAAAAATCTCAATTCTATTTACTATATGGTAATATCAATAAAAAATCTAATAATATTTAAAAAAATTAATAACCAATATTTATGGCGATTTCTTTGGTGAACCAATTTACCATATTATAAGGTATGTATTAGTAGCCAATATTATGTAACCCTGGAGAATTTGCGCATAAAAGAATGAAAGATAAAGAAAAAAAAGGTTTGAACCACTATCTCCAATCTTACATATTATTTTGGCTAAAATCATAATCGACCATTTTTAATAATAAGCCCAAATCGGCCCGACAAATTAATGCGCAATTTTTTATTATTTATTTATATTATAGGTATTGAAATTATAAATATACCAGGGACGAAGCGTCCATAGAAGCAAGGGAAGCATTGCTTCCCTTGAAATTTTTTTTACAAAATTCTTAGATAAACTTAATATAATCTTTATACTATGCTAAAAAAAATAAAATTACTTCCTTAAAATAATTAATATATTTTTTATAACGTTAAAAAGATTTATAATATTTTACTACGATAAAAAATTTACGTTAAAAAATTTACTATTATTTTTACTACGTTCAAAAATTTACTATTAATTTTACTATGTTAAAAAATGATGGAAGCAAATTTAATATTGCTTATTTTCCTATAATAAATATACTAATAAATCATGATTCATACGATATTTTTTTGGTGTAATTTTTTTATTACGTTAAAAAAAAATATACAAGAGGGTAGCAAATCTAATATTACTTATTTTTTCAATAAATAGATAGAAAATCATGTTATGATATTGTTTAATCTTACGATTAAAAAATAAGCATTGGGGAAGCAAATATAAAATTGCTTATTCTTTTATAAAAGAAAAATAAATTTTTTATATTAAATTTTTTTTCTTACTTATTTTTAAAAAAAATTTTTTTCTTTAAATTAATGTTTAATAATTGTAATTGTATTATTGAAAATATATTAATATTATCATTTAGCTCAAGAAATTTTGATACCAAAAAATTAATTATTGAAAAGGAAGACCAAAGCCAATTTTAAGAAATTTAAAAAAAGAAATAAAATCTTGCATTCGTAATTTTTCTATCGATAAATAAATATGAATGGCTCACTGGATGTGAATTTTCTAAATCTCTATATTTTTGGTCATGCTTATTATTCCCAAAGGAATAATATGTTTGGAATGATAGAGGATTTTCGGATATGAATAATTTTTCAAAGGCAGTTTAACGACATGAAGAATCAACAGCTCATTTGCAGTCGATGATTCAATTAAAAACATTTGGCGAAATTCGTATTGAAAATATGATAGATTCGATGCGCAAAATATCAATCGAACAGCATAATTCGAAAGTTAAATCAAATAGAGAAATATTGAAAATTTTAATCAATTCTATATGTTTTCTTGGAGTTCGGCAGCTCGCATTCCGTGGTGATGATGAATCACCTAATTCAGTAAATAGAGGAAATTGTATTGAATTAATTTATTTGCTCGTGGAAGAAAATTTGCTATTAAAACATCATTTAGAAAATAGTACAACTTTTATTGGACTATCAAGTGATATCCAAAATGATTTAATTAATTCCATTTCATATGTCTTACACCAAAAAATATTAGATGAATTGGAAGAAACGGAATTTATAACAATAATATTAGATGAAACAATTGATATAAATAATAAATCCCAACTGCTGTAGTTCTTCGATATGTTTTAAATAACGGGACATTATATGAAAGATTTATTGAATTCTTTGATGTTACAATGCATAGTGATGCTAATTCTTTCCCAAAATTTGTCATTAAATTTTTGAATGATAAGAAAATTATGAAAAAATTGATAGGTCAAAGTTACGATGGCGCAGCTGTTATGTCAGGTGTTTCACATAAACTGCAAGCAAAAATTAGAGACGTCAATCCTTCTGCACTTTATATTCATTGTTTTGCCCTCAAGTTAAATCTTATATTAACAAAATCTTGCAGCAAAATTAAAGAATGTATTTGCAACTTTATCTAGTTTAGCCAGATTTTTTAGTACATCATCTAAGCGTACAACAGAATTTGATAAATATGTTAAAAAAAGATTACCACGAGTAGCCCCAACAAGATGGGAATACAATGATAGGCTGGTTCAAACAGTTTTCAATTATTTGAAGGATCTAGTCGTTTTTTTTTGAAAGTATGATTGATGAAGAATCTGATATTGTTTGGGATAATGATGTTCTAATAACATCTCGTGGCTATTTAAATATATTAAATGATTCAAATTTTCTAATTTTGTTATATTTTTTTCAAGAAGTTTTTCCAGAATCTGATTTATTATTTGATATACTTCAAACTAAAATTAACGATGTATCATATTGTCTTAAAAGTATTAACGATTTCAGAAATTCAGTTAAATCTAACATAGAAAACTTTGATGTTTTTTGGATAAATTTAAATGTAAAGGAAAATATTGAAGACAATTTAGATAAAAAACGTAATAGATCCGGATTGCCTAATACAAGAGAATTTTATAAAAATTTGATAATTAAAATAATAGATACTATAATCAATGAAATTGATTTTCGGTTTGATACATTAAAAAATATCAAATTCGTCGAATTGTTAGATATTAGTAAATTTCAAATATTTAATCAAAATTTCCCAAAATATTTATTTGACAATTTAAATGAACTTATTCTCAATTTTTCAACTTACACTAGCTGGAAACCGAATTAAAGGTAGTGTTTCGTGACGATGAATTTAGAAAGAGAAAAAATGTTTATGAAATACTTGAATTTTTAATTAATACCGATTTGATGAAAAGTTTTAAATAGTTTTTTTAAATTATGCAAATTCATTTTAACTTTGGCTGCAACAACAGCAGTGCAGAACGGGGGTTTTCATCTTTAAAAATTATCAAATCTTATTGTAGAAACAGAATGAGTCAAAATCGATTATCGAATCTAGCTTTGATTTCTATTGAAAAAAAATTATTGAAAAATTTAAAATCTAGTAATAACTTTTATAATTCAGTACTAGATCATTTTACTCAAAAACAAAGACGAATTCCGCATATTTATAAATCTTAATTTTTTATGGTTTGACTAATAAATAAAATAAAAAAATTTTTTGATTGCTTCCCTAGTAGTAAACTTGACGCCTCGTCACTGAAATATACTAATTGAAAATAAAATTATAAATTTCCAGTGTCATTAAATATGAGAAATTTGACATTCCAATTAGCATGGATAAAAAAATATAAGTGGCTTATCATGACATTGACTTAAAAAATCAAAAAAAGAAACTAAAAAAATTTTGTCCAGTAGATTCATTGAAAACAAGAGTCGGTGAAACTCTTTATTGAACTATATGATGTTGTATTTACAGCACTATATTTTATATATCAAGCAAAGAAAAAGATTCAGCAGATGCTGAGAATCTTTTGCAGGCTATTATTAAGCAACCTAGAGTAGTTTCTAGACAATCCAATTTCTCAGGGGCATCTCTAGGGGATACACAGGGGCTCGAGCCCTCTGAAAAATTTGAATAGCCCCCTGAAACAAAAAATTGTTTTTGAAGGAATCTTAACCCCTTGAACTAAAAATAAATTTTTTTGATTGCCCCCTGAACGATTTCTTTTATAATTCTATTAAGTAATATATAGATTTAATTTTATTATTTAAAAATTAATAAGACTGTCAAAATATTTATTAAATAAATACTATTTTAAATATTGGATTAGATTAATACATATAAATTATATTTTCACTATATCCGCTTGCAAATTTTGTGTTAAAAATAGAATATCAATATCACTCACTAAATATTAATTTAGCATTAACAGTTGAAGTTTAATTGACTATTATTATTTAAATTATTATATAACCCTAATTAAATAAATATAATCATTTATTAATTGAAAACTAAAAAAATTTAATATTGTAATTAGCCGAGTTCAAAATGACTAATCAACTGTATATTTATTTTTAAATTTTATTTTCCTAAAAATATTTTCAAGGTTCAAATAAGTATAAGAGATTTTTTTATAAAAAGTAAGTAAATAGACATATAGTTTATAATGCTCTATTATATACAGTTGTTTATAAAATATTAGATAAAATGCCACTTTAACGTATTTGACAGTTATATAATATATTGCAGTTAATATTATAATGAATTTTATATAAATGCTTTTGATAATAAATATGGTAACAACTTGCATTTAAGTATTTAACGCCATCTATTTAGTTATATAATTTTAATAATTAAACATTTTATTATTCATCTTACAATAGATGTAATAAATTTGATATCTTTTCTTCTCTTTTTTTTACGTGTTTTTAGGAAAGCCATTTTTACTTTTTCGAAAAACAGTTTTGAGTTAAATTTTTATATATTTTTTATATTATTACAAGCTACTGTTATTTTAAGATATAATATATTAACTAAAGGTAGTGCGACAATATATAAAATCTTAATTGTTTCATCATATCATTCTGGTCCTTATTTTATAGTTAGAAAATATTTCATTTCTAATATGGCATCCTTGCCGTGTAAATAAATCCAG